TTCGGTCGGCCATGTTTGGTCCTCCAAAAACTGTTTAAACAAACACATCAGTTTGTGCAAAACTTTGTTAAGATCAAAGTAACTTTACAAAGTCTGCAACATCTGCAACTTCAGCTGCCTCAAAACGAAGTTTTATTGATGCAACAGCAACACAATAATGATGTAGGCCTGAACGATGTGCCTAAAACAACTTGTATCCATGTTTAAAAGAAAAGTTCACATCAAGTGTCATATAATGAAAACCTCAAGAAAATGATGTTTTTGTTTTTGCCACAACAAATCTCAGATAGTAATAAACACCCACACTAGTCACATCTGTGCGATTTCTCTCCGGTGTGCATAACAACACGAGTCTTAAGGTTAGATGATGAAGAGAAAGCTTTACCGCACTGCTCACAGGAGAAAATCATTTCTTTTGTGTGGATGTTCTTGTGGGCCTTTAAATAATCTAACGTAAAAGTAATTTAATTACAGTAACGCGTTACTTAGTAACACATTACACCCAACACTGGTCCAGACGCTTTTCTTTACAAGGTCCCTTGACTACGATGACCTGGATGACTGAGAATCTTCACAGACAACCAGTTAGTTTGTTTGGTTATCTGTCAAAGCTGGGTCTGTTTGTTGGTGTGAAGCCAAACATACTTGGACACAAAAGGTCACAGTTCTCTCTGTGAGGGAGAAGGTACTTTCAAACATTCAGGTTCTAACAGGGCGCAATCTGAAAATTTTAACCGTACCAGAAACAGCAGACTGTAGACCAGCATAAAGAAAGGGTTGACTGATGGGATAAAAAGATCATGCGTGTGGTTGAGAGGTGAAGTCATATTTGTTGAGTCAATCATGCTTCTGTGGCTGAAAAATAAATACAAATCACAGAGATTCTTCAAGACCAACCTTCTTTCATCTGATCAAAGTTAGTTTATGTGTTTGAGGATGATTATTGTATTTAATCCTCAGAAAGCTTTCACTTGATACAAAAATGACGGCACATGTAGATTAAAGCAGTCACTTATACTATCACATCACCATAACTTGATTGATTTTTTTTCTTGTGTTTTACCCTTTTCTCCCCGACATTCTTGGTCGTGTTTTATTTGAAGTGCAACTGGACATTGACCCACAAATTTTCATGAGAGTAGTAGCATGCCTTCTACTCTTTTTGGGACTTTTCACCACCACTTCTGGAGAACCTCTAAGCCACCCCATTGTTTACAGTAGGGAGCAGCTACTGGGCAACAGGTACTCCCGGAGGAGCAACCCAAGATTGCAAAGAAATTACGGCGTCGGAGGAGGGGATGCAGGGCTGGAGTGAAGTAACGGGAAAGAAGGAGACGGTACAAACCAAGCATTCAATCCATTCTCATGGGTAATGTAAGATCTTTACCCAACAAGATGCAAGAGCTAATTGCGCTAACCAGACTGCAGTGGGAGTACCAGCAGAGCAGCCTCCTACTGATCCCTGAGACATGGCTCACGGACCACACACTCTGTCATAACTGTGGATGGCTTTCAACTGGTTAGAGGAATGCAATGGAGAGTGGTAAGAGGAGAGGTGGGGGACTGCCAATGTACATCAGTGAGCGATGGTGTAACCTGGGACACATCACTGTGAAGGAACAGCGCTGTACCAAAGACATTGAACTGTCAGCAGTTAGCGTCCGGCCATAACAAAAGCTCAACACTGCGCCCAGCATCCTGGAGCACTTCTGTTGTCTTTTGTACGTGTTTTGGAGTATATACGTCCTTTGTCTGTAGGGGCCACCGTAAATATACTTTTATTTATTCTCTCCACATAAAATGTAATAAATAAATCATGTAATACAAAGACCAACTAGTCACAGTTCAAATTTTCACTATTTAAATTTTCAGCTTTTTCCTTTTACAAATTTAAAGTGAAACAACACAAAACACTGCAAACCACAACACAATTAAATATAAATGAAAATATGAAGTCAAAAAGAATCACATTCTCTGTCATATGGGCCTGCATGAATAAACTGTCTGAATCCTTTATCATCTGCATCTGAAAATAGTTGTGGATGATTACTATACCTTTCTAATGTGACGTTGTTGTCCCTGGCTCT